GCATAGCTACATTACATACAAGCTAAAAGCTATTACCACAGCAAGATTACATTTCCTCATACTCATCCTCCATCAATGCTCAGAATATATACTTATACGTGTCTCTGTTGATCGCAAGTGAAACAGAAAAGGAGGGACTTGGTGGTTTTCTTCTAGAGTCTGGGGACAAGATACTGTGTTGAACTGCTAAAAGGTGCAACACTCACAACCTAGGGGAAAAGGGGGAACCCAAAGTGCACCTTCCAGATTCAGGGGTGCTCAGGGGGTCAGAGTGGCCCAGCACATCTTCATCTTGGAGGGCTGCCTAAGCTATAATAGTCTGTTACCAGACATCTATGGGAAGCAGCACTGCCCAGAATCTCTACACACTGTGGCTCCAACCCCTCACGCCCCCAACATGCCCCACCCATCACCTTTCTTTCACGCAACTTACACCAGGGTTTGCAAGGCAGTTGTGGGAGGACAGCCTGTGGTTGTCTTCCTCAATTCCTGAATTCTCCCCCAGCCAGATCTGGGATTAAGGATCTCAGTTTGGAGGAGCATCCTTGTTCTTTCCAGTTTCTCTCAGAGGCCCTAAGCCATTTTATTCTTCCCCATGACAGTCATTTGGACAAACAATGAAGCTCTCTCAGTTCTACATTGCGGCTGCGGTCTCTCTGATGGATCAGCCTCCAAGATGCTCTCCGTTTACTGCACAGCCTCTGCCAGTGTGAACACATTGTTCTGCCACATCTGCACTCTTGCAGACAGACTTTGTAAGTAAACATCCATTATTAGATCCATCTATGTCCCTATTTTCTGGGGTTCAACCCTGAGCTAATGAGTCACTTAGCTTGTCAGGTGTAAGACAGAGATACCTGGCTGAACCCTCTTCATGTAACCAGATATGTTTCTGGGTTATCTTCTGGTTCCAGTTTTGCTAAGAAAGAGACTGGATTTCCTGGCAGCATGAGTGGTGCATGTGGGCCAACCCTGGAACTGCAGTTGCCATGCCTGTGGGCGCTGCAACCCAGGTTTGCTGTCATTGTTTCTATTAAATATCCATGTAACAAAGCTGCTCATTTTCCCTCCTTGTGCAAATTTATCCTACGACTGACACCATCATTAAATGCATAGCTTCCATCCTGCTCTGAACAGAATATATTAAAGAGAGAGAGAGATACACACACCCCAAACTTAGCCCCTTGGTATGCCTTGCCTTTATTGGTAACTCAAACAACAACAAACACAACAAACCAGAGGTGCAACTTTCCTCAAACTTGTTAGTTTCTAGGATTTCCCTGCAGGACTCCTTTTTCTCCCAAACCCTACTTCCCTCAGTCTCATATACTCCAACCTCTTATATCCTGATTAGAGATAAGATGCATCTGTCAGTGTAAGTCAGCTATAATTTTCTGCCTCTTTATGCAGGGCGGAAGCACTTCACATTAGGATAATTACAAGGAAACCTGCATCCTTATTCAGAATCTTAGAGCCTACCACCTTATTACATGTTGCTAATGACTTCCTGCTGCAACAGCACACTAAGGTTGATCCAGTATGGAGAAGAAATGGGTCAGAGCAAGACTGCAGGATCAGCATGCCATGCATATGTTTATCCACAGAACAAGTTCAGCCTCAGTAGTAGCAGTGCAAGTTTCCCTTCCATTGCACCACAGGCCTGACTGTAAAAGGACATTTTGGGCTGAGACGATAGATCAAGCACATTCAGTCCATGGCATCTCTACTGAGACTGCCATCCAAGTGGTTAATCGCTGTCAACTGTAATAGTGTTTTGGGGCTTGGACATATGACCATCTTGAACTAGTCTAACAGAAAGGAGCCATGGGAGCTGGTGACAGTTTCAAGCCCTGACAAAAGCCAAAGGTTTGACCCTTTTCCCACTGAAGTCAACTGACTCCAACAGAAGCAGGATCAGCTCTAATGATGGTTAATGTATCTTAATTTTATTTTGCATATAGTAAAACTGGTCCTAAGCAATCACTCAGGGGACTGACAAAAAGTCACTGCTTAACTAATAAAAGAGCAAAAATGGAGACACTTCTTAAGACAGAAAGTTGCCTAATACAGAGAGTCTCTTCTCCAGGCTTCATTACATACACCAACATGTATTCTAAGAATACTGGTAAGGGAAGCTGTTTTAAAAATGTTTTTTACCTACCAATACATGTGGGTTTTAAGTGCCTGCATAGCTTCTGCAATATTTGAGGATATCACTAACATCTAATTCCAAGCAAGCTCCTTTAACTGTTTTAGGTTTTAGTGATGTCATCAACCATAGCACAGAAAAAAACAGAACCTCAGAACCCTGAACTATTTTAAGAGATAAGTGGAAGAACTAATTTAAAATTATTTTGGTTTTAATCTTAAATCACAAACAAAAAACAGGCGTACTGTAATTTAAGAGCTCAGTCTTGATTTACCAACTGAGAGAAGTGACGTCTTACACTCAGCTCAAAGGCATTTTTCCATTTGTCTGTCTGTAATATTAAAACCTTTGCATGCTGTGGGTATTAGGGGACCCAGGTATGGAGGTCCAAAGGACCTGGGCGGGGGGGACAGAGCAACTGGCATGGGGGAGTAGAATGGGGGCAAAGGGACATGGGGGCTATGCAGAGTCCCTGGCATGGGAAAGGGGGTTTGCATGGAGTCCCTGAAATAAAAGGGGATGGGAGGGTGACACACAGAGTGCTAGTTGGGAAGGAATACAAGGTATGCAATGTACACAGCCTACAGAAGCAATGAAGCGTGGACCCCAGCACAAAGTCTAGATATTAACACACTAAAGTATTTTCGTCATTTAGAATCTGGAAAGAAGATCCAATATTCTGATCACAGATGACTTCATTTGACTTATATATTTTAAAAAGGTCTTTTGAAATGAGATTAAAAAATCTGTAATCATTAGGAGTGTAATCAGTTTGTCAGCATAATCAATAGCTCTTCAAAACTTAAAACTCATTTCAACCAATATCTCTACATAACTAATATTCTGACAAGTACAAACAGGATATTATGGAAAAGCTGAAGTAAGAGAAGTTCTTGTATTTTTTTTAATTGTTGAAAGTTATTTTCTGATGTAAAATTGTTATTCATGTATGTATAAAAATTAGGGCCGTCAAGCAATTAAAAAAATTAATCGCGATTAATCACGCTGTTAAACAACAATAGAATGCCATTTATTTTAAATATTTTTGGATGTTTACTACATTTTCACATAATTTAATTTCAATTACAACACAGAATACAAAGTGTAAAGTGCTCACTTTATATTTATTTTTTATTACAAATATTTGCACTGTAAAAAAACAAAAAAATTGTGTTTTTCAATTCACCTCATACAAGTACTGTAGTGCAATCTTTTTATCATGAAAGTTGAACTTACAAATGTAGAATTATGTACAAAAAAAACCTGCATTCAAAAATAAAACAATGTAAAACTTTAGAGCCTACAAGTCCACTCAGTCCTACTTCTTGGTCAGCCAATCACTCAGACAAACAAGGCTGGTTACAATTTGCAGGAGATAATGCTGCCTGCTTCTTGTTTACAATATCACCTGAAAGTGAGAACAGGCATTCTCATGGCACTGTTGTAGCTGGCGTTGCAAGATATTTACATGCCAGATGCGCTAAAGATTCATATGTCCCTTCATGCTTCAACCACCATTCCAGAGGACATGCTTCCCTGCTGATGATGGGTTCTGCTTGATAACGATCCAAAGCAGTGTGGACTGACGCATGTTCATTTTCATCATCAGAGTCGGATGCCACCAGTAGAAGGTTGATTTTTTTTTTGGTGGTTCTGTAGTTTCCGCATGGGAGTGTTGCTCTTTAAGACTTCTAAAAGCACACTACACACCTCGTCCCTCTCAGATTTTGGAAGGCACTTCAGATTTTTAAACCTTGAGTCGAGTGCTGTAGCTATTTTTAGAAATCTCACATCGGTACCTTCTTTGCATTTTGTCAAATCTGCTGTGAAAGTGTTCTTAAAACAAACTTGTGCTGAGTCATCATCCAAGACTGCTATAACATGAAATATATGCAGAATGCGGGTAAAACAGAGCTGGAGATATACAATTCTCCCCCCAAGGAATACAGTCACAAATTTAATTGACCAATTCTTTTTTTAACGAGCATCATCAGCATGGAAGCATGTCCTCTGGAAGGGGTCATACGAATGTTTAGCATATCCAGCTACAAAAGTGCCATGCAAACATCTGTTCTCACTTTCAGGTGACATTGTAAATAAGAAGCTGGCAGCATTATCTCCCATCAATGTAAACAAACTTGTTTGTCTTAGTGATTGTCAGAATAAGAAGTAGGACTGAGTGGACTTGTAGGCTCTAAAGTGTTACACTGTTTTGTTTTTGAGTGCAGTTATGCAACCAAAAAAATCTGCATTTGTAAGTTACACTTTCACAATAAAGAGATTGTACTTCAGTACTTGTATGAGATGAATTGAAAAATACTATTTCTTTTGTTTATCATTTTACAGTGCATATATTTATAATAAAAAATAATAATATAAAGTGAGTACTGTGCACTCTGTATTCTGTGTTGTAATTGAAATCAATATTGAAAATGTAGAAAAACATCCAAAAATATTTAATAAATTTCAACTGGTATTCTATTGTTATAAGTGCGATGAATAGCGATTCTTTTTTTTTAGTTAATCACATGAGTTAACTGCAATTGACAGCCCTAATAAAAATGTATATATATAGCCGTGCTACCTGAAAAACATTCAAAATAACATATACTTGCTTAAGTACACTAAACTGGTTCTGTACAGTTTCCACTGTAATATTAAGGACTGGTCACAACTTGCACTGAATAACTAAATAAGCTTAATTCACACCTTTTGTCATTTTGCTGCTGCGTGGACCAGACCTAACGTACAGAGTTTTGAAAATGAACAAAAAACTAATACACAAATGAACCCAATCACAATTTCCAGATTTACAACAGATAATGCCAAATGAGAATATAGTCCAACTTACTCTTTTACTGAGGCAAATAACTGGCCACATACTACAACCTAATGTACAGCAGCAACAAAGGCAACCACAAAGTAGCCATCGAACATTAACTGGAAGGTTCTTCTTAAGACAACTGTTAACTCTGCTGATGCTGGCTTTAAATTCCTCAGGTGCGACCTGTGAAGAAAGAAAAATAATCCAGTACTACTGCAATATACAGGTCTGTCGCATTTAACATGCGCGATTTCAACTTTACGCGGTCGGCAAAAACAAAAAGCAAAAACAAAAAAAAGAGAAAAACAACAAACACTTTTAATACTATACCTGTAGCCCGCCATTGAACTCAATGGGGTTTTGGCCATACGCGGTTTTCGCTTTACGCGCTAACCGCGGAACGGAACCCCCACATAAAATGAAACAGACCTGTAATTTAAATGATGAGTATTCCTGCAAAGCTCAACTATATGTAGAACCCCAAATAGCATGCTTTTCTAGTAGCAAAATCTTGTTACCCAAATTCTAAGTTTTAGAGGCTATTATAGTAAATTTCTAATTGAGACTTATCCATAGATACTCACCTTTCCCGTTAAAGAAGAAGGGAATTCTGCTTCAAATTTGTTGCTCAGTCCAAATCTGGGGGGAGGGGAGGGGGAAAAAAGGTAGATCATATCAGAAACACAATCATTCAATGAAGAGATTAATGAATACCTCATCACGAAGGTTCTTTTGCAAAAGCAAACAAAAACTTAAAAAAAAAATCACATTTCCATCTGAAGGGTTAGGTGGGAGGGGGCAGTGGGGTGGAAAGAGGGGGTGGGGGGAATTTGGGACATGCAGGGCTCCGGTGGCCAGAGAAAGAGGCGACTTTCCCCAGCTCCAGGGCTGTGGCTGCCGATGAGAGACGGCCCTCCATCCCAGCCCTAGCTTGGGGGCTGCTGCGGCAGAGAAGAGAGGGCACACTGCATTAGAAAGATAAGTCTACTGATATTAAAATACAAGTTGTGTGTTTTTATTTGTAGAACAAAAAAGCATTAATTATTATTAAGGGGTTTTTTTATATAGTGCTTTTATCCAAAGAGCTTTACAATAGTTAGCTAACAGTACAAACAACATTTGGAAAGATCATTAAGTGGTCTGCCGAGATCCTCAGCAATTTTCAAGTGGTCCGCAAAAAAAAAGTTTGAGAACCACTGCTTAATGTAATGTACTTTTGGCTATGTCTACACTAAAGGGCCTATATCAGCATAACCTTTCAGTGTAGACACAGCATACACCTACAGGAGTTTTTCTGCTGGTGTAGAAACACTACCTTCCTGAACCATATTAGTTATGCCGACAGAAGCACTCTTACATAGTCATCGACTCCGTGGGTGCTCCAGGGCTGGAGTACTCATGGAAAAAATAGTCGGTGCTCAGCACCCACCAGTCCCCTGCCGATCAGTTGTTCAGCAGCCCCCACCCCAGCGCCTCCCGCCTGACACCAATTAGCTGTTTGGTGGTGGGTGGGAAGCGGTGGGGGGGAGAGGAGGAGTGGAGGCAGAAAGAGGCAGGACAGAGCGGAGCCTTGGAGAGTGGTGGGGCAGGGTTGGGAAGAGGAGGGTGGGGTGGAGCCTGGGGGGAGTGGCAGAGTGGGAGTGGGGCCTCAGGGCGGAGTGGAGTGGAGCACCCCCGGGGAAAACTGAAAGTCAGTGCCTGTGCACTCTTACGTCGGCACAGCTGCATCTACACTAGGGTTTTGTTGCACAGCTATGTTATGTCAGGGGTGTGGGATTTTTCACACTCCCGACCGACAGATTTGCTGGTATAGGTTTTAAATGCAGACAAGGCCTTACTGTTTGTTGATGGTGCCAGCCCTTCCCCAAACCCTGCAAGAGGGTGATTACCAGTGAAAGTGATGGCAAAGCTGATGCTGAACAGGCTGTTGTATGCACTGAAGCTTTGTCTTCACTAGGAAAAAAGATGTATTTTCATACCAAGTGGTAAAAACACCTTTTTTCCCTAGTGTGGATGCACCTTGAAAAGAAAGGAATGGGAGCATGTTCAGGGTTTTTACATTCAGGCCCAGCCACATCACTGTTCTATGCATAAGCAAGGGAGCAAAACCAGAGTTAATTTTTCAAAGAATTATTTTAGGTCATAATTAAAGGACACTATCAGAAACTTTTTTTTTTAAGTCAATTTGAAAGAAATTAAAGTTGACAGCACCCATTTAACGGTCAACATTTAAATTTAAAAACCCCCACAAAATATGTAAAGTCAAGCTAAGTCCACAAATATTACAGCCAAAGCTGCATGAATCACGTCAGTAATACATCTTATGAGCAACTATGCAATGGCAACAGAATTAGATTACACAGCAATACATAAATATGACAATTACATATTAATTCAATTTGTCCTACTGGGTATGCACTGCTGTGCTATATTTTAGGAAAATATATTGCATTGGTGTTTCTTAGAAAGCTCTGTCATTCTAGAAATGAAAAAAAAAAAAACCACATAGCTATAGTACATAAAGTTCAAGTTTGGCAACTTATTTCATGGGGGGGGGGGAAGCCCTGTGCCATATGGAGCCCTACAGATTTCATTTGGCTCTTTGAAGTGTTCACCCACATGGACAAGTTGCAGGACTGAGGCCTAAGAGCCTTCCCTCTTGACTTGATTATTAATCCTCATTGAGTTCTACAAAGCCAACCAACTCCAAAGAAATCTGACTGAATAGTTTTTAAGTTATTAATGTTTAACGCTTGAGGTGAGGTGGTCTAACACTGTAAACTATTCTAGCTATGAACAGATCTTAAGAACTAGATGAGAAAAGTTTCAACTTGCCAGCTTTAAACTACTAAACAGATTTCCTGTAAATTTGAGGCAAATCTGAAGACTGTACATACTGTAATCTTGTAGAAGAAATTCCAGAATATAATATACAAAACCTGACAAATCCACTCACCAATATCCTGTAGGAAACTTTACTTGGCAAATGGTGGCCTTTCCCAGAAGCCTGTGTAGCATTTAAGCTTTTATTTTTTATAAAGTTACATTTCTAGCCCTTATAATTATGATAGCCTTCCAAACTACATAGTATTATTGAACTGAATCTACAGACAGCCTGAAACAGAGGTTAAATTGTCCAGCACACAAATATTGACCCCAAAGAAAAGCTTAAGCAGTTGGACTGTGTGCAGAAAAGTTCCCCTGAGGTTTGAGAGTAAGGAAAGGTGTTAAAGAAATCATTCCCCCGTGCAGGTCACTTTGTGACAGTACATCTGCTCAATGGCTGCTACTTCACATGATTAACATCCCTACTAAGTGGGCTGAAATGGCCAGAGGATTACACAAATAATATGGAAAAAATAAATGTTATGAAGAGATACAGAATAGAACAAGGTGCTTAAAAATAGGTCTGTATCTTGATCCAGAAGTCTTACTATACATAACCCAACTGGAAATCCATAGTCAAAAACTCCTTTGGTCTGCTGTTCTGTAACCTAGGCTCTTGTTCTACAGTGGTATTGGTTGGGATCAGGGTGGATAAAAATCAATGATTTCTTTAAATTGGATTTTAAAATGCTTTTTGAGGAAAAAACCTATCTAAAGATAGTTTCAATTAAGATACATTATAGCTCAAAGATATCTCATTGTGGAATAGGGATTATAAATTCTAATTCTATAGAATGAGACAATATATTCTTATAATGTTTACGGAAAGTTTTGTAAATGAGTTCCAATAGTTCATGGATTATGGACTGTGGCAGGGTGGTGACCTGCTTCAGCCCAGGGATAGGGTTGGAACCAGCCCTGGAAGAGGGCTGGCAGGCTGTGAAAGAAAGACCTGGGCTGATTGGGGAAGCAGCCACAGCTGGGCCACGCCCCAATCAGGGCCCAGCTGGTCCTATAAAGGCTGGGAGCCAGGACACAGTCTCTCTTTGTGTTCAGAGAGAGAAGGGCCTGGCTGCAGGGAGCTAGAGACAGGGTACCTAAGCTGGAACGAGCTAATTCCCGGAAGTCACCAGCAGGAGGCGCTGCAGGGGTGAGTCCGCTCGTCTACAGGGACCCAATCTTAGGGGGTTCCAGGGACTTCTGTATAGATTATTTAGGTTAATCTTTCTTTTGCCTGCCAGACGAAAAAGGTTGTGGACCACTGTTCTAGAAGATACCATCAGAGATGCTTAGTTTGCAGTTCTCAAACTGTGGATTTGTGTCTCCAGAGATAACATGCTTGTTAACTGCAAAAATGGTTTTAAATGAATAAATAATACACAGAGGTGAGAAATAACAGACCACAACCCTATTGTCTCTCTGCAAATTTGTGTACATAGTCAATCCCTTACCTCTCTCTAAAAGTGCAAAGTTTCAAAAAGTTTAATGAATAGAAGATTGTTGGGGGCAGAATAGATCTGGACAAGGTGAAGAAGTCTGGAGAGAAATGTGAGAAGGGAGGGACAGTCAGTAGTAGAAACAAAAGTGAAACTGTTTGAGCAGCATATTCCAGAAGTCTTGATCTTTCTGAGTGTAGCCTTCATTGATACCATTCTCTCACTAGAAGGGAAAACCTATAATGGCAGCAGGCTGTAAGAAAGACCCAATTTGGGAATATTTTAACGAAGTTCCTCTACCTGTGGGAAAGACAGGCATGCGTGCAAAATGCAAACAGCGCAACAAAGAAATGCAAGGCCTGGTTGCCCGAATGAAACATCATGAGACGTGTTTCTTCTAAGGAGGAAGTTGTGTTGAAGATGATGAAAGGAACATGTCCGAACATGCAGGATCTTCAAGTTGGTAAACTTTTTTTTTATTTCATACTTCTTTCTTAAGGACTGTCTGTCTTCCTTCTGGACTATTCTTGAATTCTCATGCTTGAGCAAAAAATATAGTTGTTACTCTATGGTACTAGCATTTTAGATGCAGTTGTGATAAGAAATAAATAGCTGAAATAGGCAGATCTTACTTTTACAATTTCACATTTAAAGTAGTACTGAGTGTCAGTGAATGCAATGAGTAATACTAAATGAGCAGTATGGTAATAAAAATTAAATAACTGCATTGACTTATTTTGTTTAGGAGAATCCATCCTCAACATACAGGATTCTCAAGACTATCCAGCTTCAAGATCACCATCATTTTCTATAGTTACAGAGTTATCTGCCAATGATAGTGTTTCAGTCACATCATGTATGTCACATAGCCGCAGTAGATCACCTGTAGCAAAAAGAAAAAAAAAATTGCCATCATCCAGAAACAACCATAGATAAATTTGTGATAAGAACCAGCAGATTACAAAAAGAGGTAACTGATGAAAAAATTGCCTGGTTTGTTTATGCAACAAACTCTCCTTTCCATATGATTGAGAACCAACACTTCATTAACATGGTTCAGTCATTAAGACCAGGATACAGTCCACCCAACAGAGCAGATGTCGCAGGCAAACTGCTGGATAAAGTGTATGAAAGAGAAATCGAGCAGTGTGCAAAAGGTCTAGAGGGTAAAATTATTAACCTGAGTCTTGATGGGTGGAGCAAAGTCCACAATGATCCTGTTGTATGTGCTTGTGTGACAACAGAAGAAGGGAATGTCTTCCTTACAGAAACAATTGATACATCAGGAAATGCTCACACACAGCAGAATACTTACAA